TGCTGCACAGTTGACAAAGAGCTGTTGGGTTGTAGGTTATTGTGATGCTCTCGTTTCAGGCACCCAAGTGAAATCACTTGCCTATAAATACCTTTTCCTTAATTTCTTTAAATTGGCCTATTTTTCAAAGATATTTGGATAGAAAATGGCAATGGTTCTCTTTGTAACTGTGGCTCTTGCATAGTGTAGTCCCGTACCTTTTAGCTTTGCTGTGCTTTTTCCTTCCTTGAACTGAATCACGAAGGGAAAAGTAGATCAAAGTAGGTAACACTCGGTGTCCAAACACTGCTAGTGTCTGTGGCCAGAAGTAGATAGCATTAGCTAGTGATAGCGTAGAAACTGATGTTAGTTAATATTGTGCTCCTCTATAGCCAGATAAAAAGTAGTTTTGTTGGTGATGGGTGTAATCTGTTTTTCTTGTTTACTTGCTTGCGATTCGTCCTTGCTTTTGGTTGTGGGAGCAAACAGGAAACTAACATGAAGCTTTTTGATACAGATAAAATGTAGCTTTAATTGCAGGCTCGGCACATTGTGCTGTGTTAAATTTAATTTTTTGTTTTTCTATTTTTTTTTTAAATAGCTGATTCTGATAGTGGTGACAAATCACACGTGAGTACCTTTTTTTTGCATTGTTGTTTGGTTAAGAGGTATGTTTTTAGCAAAAGTGAATTTTTTAATGCAGACTGTCTCATAACATTGCCAAATCAGAATGAGAATTTTTCTTCTCATGGAAATGAGAGAGAAAAAATACAACCCAAATCAATACATGGTCTGAATCTAGAATTTATGCATTCTCCTCTTATCTGGAGGAAGTGGTAGCTGTACAGTACTCAGTTGCTGGAGCCGCTAAGGCTTCACAATCTTGAAACAATATTTAACTCTATCCATTCTATTTTAAATGGATAGAAGTTAGAGGAGACCAACATTTTTCTTCTCAACAGAAAAAAAGAAACCACCACAAGTGCTACTGTGAAGTACACAGTATTTCGTATTCTGTTTGTCACATAAAAATAGTCATAATCTCTTCTATCAGATTCAAATACAGCTTTTATTGGAAAGGACTATGACATCAAGTGTCTAAAATTGCCTTTGATTATAAAGATTTTAAACATGTAAATGTATCATGTAATGGGATCCTAAGTGAAACCTGATATTTTATTTCATTGTGGATAAAAATCCAGAACAAGGCTATAGGCTGTTGTGCTGGCAGCCATATGAAATGAGCAAAACTGTTTTATAATCACGAATTGCTCCACGTGTTGCGCAGAAGATTATAGAGAAGCAGAATAGATACTTTTTAAATTTGTGTACCTGCAGGTATCTCTGTTCAGGGCAGTGTAGAGCTTTCTTTCAGATCTTTTCCCTTTCTTTCCTCTCCAGTTGAAGTTTTCCAAGCCTTTCTTTGCAAACCAAATAATCATTTGGATACCTGTGGGCAATCCTAAGGGTCGATGAAGCTAAGGATATTATCTGCTAACTGAGAGAACCATTATCTATTTCTCGATTTCTCATTTTATCATCATCACTGGGGGTAGGCCAGGCGAAGTGCAGCTTTCTCTGTTAACCTTTTGAAGTATAGTGTCAAAGTCTAATAGCTTGGTTTTCCTTCACGCAAGCATTTCAATTTCTGGTCCTGGGATCCAGAAGAAGAGCGAAAACGCCAAGAAAGGTGGCAGCATGAGCAAGAACGCTTGCTTCAGGTAGGGAAGAAACTACATGTCTTCAACCATGTGGTTCAGCTGTTGAATTGTCCCTTTAGACAAAAGTTGGGCATTTTGTGTCATGTTTTCCACATCCTCTGTGGATGCTTTAGCGAATTCTGTGGCAGATGATCAATAAAATGAGCATACAGACATGTTCTCTGTGTTTTGGACATTCTTACATCTCCCTGTCCCACTCCATGGAAAGACTAAATGCAGTGTGGAGTTAAACCAAACATTGATCCTCAACTATATTTAAAGTATGCTGAGCATAGGCTGCAAAACTTAATTACTTGGAGCCTCTTTCTCGAGACTGACAATTTGCTGACCCTGACACCTATGCAACTCTTCTTTAAAATTACGGTCTTAATAGATCTTTGTAGAATTCAGCTTTGTTCCCAGGTTCTTCTTGGAAAATATCAAGCTAAATTTGGACACAAAGGGTTTGGCGTCTTTTTGTGAGGGGGAAAATTCCCTCTAAACAACCACTGGTTTTGCCTAGTGGTAGAGTAAGCTGTAAAAGGTCTGGGTTTGTGTCCTAGTTGTGAGAAGTGCAGTGGCCCTGAGAACTTGAATTTCCCTGTCAGTCAGTAGTGTCTTTCAAAACTGTGATTAGGTTTGGTCCCAAACAAATCATATCTTTCCTCCACATAACAGAAGAGCAAACAACTGTCAAAGGATGGAGAATAATAAAATGGAGTCTTTTAATCTTTTAAGAATGACTTGTGTGTCTCTACTGCTTTCTTGAGATTATTTCTTTATAGCTAATATGGTTGTTTCCTCTTGAAATGGTGTAAAATTCTCATAATAATTTTTCTGGCATATGTGGGTGTTCTCTCAGTAGTGAATGCATCTCTTCTGGATTAGGCAGATGTGGTGTGTAGTTTGAACAGAAGCTGAAATTAGTGTAAAAGGGATATGGAAATCATCATTCTTCCCCATATTCAAACCAACTCCGTCAAACACTTCTAAAGATCTCTTTGTGATAATTTTTCATGCAAAACTGTGTGAAAACAATTCTCAAGAAATAATTCCATCACTGAGGAAAATGAACTACTTAGCTAATTATAAGCTTGCCGTTTTCAATAGCTTACACACTATTATCTTTACACACATTTATCTTTTAAACTTGCACAGATATTCATCTTTCATTAAATTGTACTGGCCTATCTCTTAAATTAGTACTACTGTCTGCAAAACCTGCTTGTTTATATGCTACTTTGCTGAAGTTATTAATGTAAAATCCATGCCCAAGTGTTTTGGGGTGTGTGATAGCTTTTTGGACTTCTTAATACTGTATAACAAACAAGGAATTATTGAAATTCTTGAGCATAAATTTCATTTCTGACCAAAGATTTTAAAACTTCCAACAAATTAAACTTTTTGTAGTATGTTAAAAGTTGTTGGTTTGAAGATGGTTAAGTGCTAGAAACAGGTGGGGAGAGGAGGAAAAGAAGCTTTTCTTGACACCCATGGATGTTTCAAATTTTTATCTTCCTATTTCATCCTATTTCTGATTAAAGCACTTTTAGCAGATTCATTTTCACTGTGGAGATACTACAGAATTTACTCCTAATATAGAATGCTCTGAATTTAGCTGTATTTATATCCCCTTACAGGAGAAGTACCAGAAGGAGCAGGACAAGCTGAAAGAGGAATGGGAAAAGGCCCAGAGAGAAGTTGAAGAGGAGGAGCGTAGATACTATGAGGAGGTATAAGGCTCAAAGGAGGAGGTTGTTTATTGACTTTTTTTTGTATTTAAGTGCACCCACTTGCGTAACTAAAAAAATCCCATACCTTGATTAATTAATGAACAGCCTTCTCAAGGCTGTATTCTCAGGAAGATTGTTTCTCTTAAACACTACCATAGGAGCTGAGGAAAAATATTTACGTATTTAGACAGGTATCCTCAGAAGCTCCCCACAGGTGGAGGTGTTTAATTGCTGTGCAAGTCAGGGTGAGTCTGTATGGTTGTGTCTGGGCACGCTCGGACTTCCCTCGAAGGCAGAGCCCTGTGTGTTTTGGCATATACTTGGTGCCTGGACTTGGTGGAACTCCAGATGAAATTGTTGTCTGCCTTGGGCTTGATGATGTAGATATTTTATAAACTGACCTTGTTTTTTTTTAAAAAAAAAAAAAAATCACAGGAGATGCTCAAAGCTTGTAGAATATTAACAATATAGAAGATAGTGATTTTGTTTTGTTGTATGTGGGACATTATTGCAGGAAATTGGAAAACATTCATGTTTTCAGCTTAACTAGTTGCACATTATACAAATTGCTGTCTTATCATCTGTGCTTGAGGGCCATACTTGTGATCTGAACAACAAATTTTTTTTTTCAACTTTCAGAACAAGTTTCTCATATACTATATTTTTATAGGAAATTTAATAGACTGATGTTGTGAGAAACAGTGGTCCAAACCCAAATGGAGTATTCTTTCCAGTTTTGGACATCCCATCTCAAAGATGGTAATGGTGAAAGGAAAGAGACTACAAAACCTTGAAGCAAATTAAAAACTGAGATGTTACCATTACTCTTGGTACCACAGGTCCTTACCTAGCCATGTAACTATGACGTGCAGACAAACTTTATGCTTCTACTTTTTAAGCTCATAGTTGACATTCTGTATTTTGAACCCCCATTCTCTCTTGATCCTCTTTATTTAGGAACGTAAGATAATTGAGGACACTGTAGTTCCATTCATTGTTTCTTCAAACTCTGCTGAGCTCCTCTCCTCTTCTTCCTCTGCCACTGAAGGAAACAAGACAGGGGTGAGTTTCTCGTGGCATAGTAAGTCAATAAAGACTAAGCCATCTTCAGTGCAAAGTTGCATTCTTCACTAAAGGCTAGCAAAGTCTGGAAATAGTAAGAGTATTCCCTGGATCCCTTCCGTAACTGGTGATACCACAGAGTGCTGTAGCTTGTATATTTTTATAACCAAAGAGCCATACTCCCAAACTGCTCCCATCCCAATTTGGACTAGAGCAGAGGGTGGTGCTTTCTCTCTTTGTAGCTGCTTTTTTTTTAAACTGGTGCTGTGAACAGTCACCAGTTTCTGTTTGTTTTAACTACTTGTCAAACCCAACAAAATCTGAAGTGATTTTCCTGCATCCAAAATCTTGAGTGTAAGACAGTGCTTTAAGCATATCTGAGATAAAACAGAATCCTGCCTTCCCCGCTTTTCTTCCTTTTCTCTCCCACCATGTCCTAGAAAGCAGCAAAACAAACAGAGGAATGTTCACTCTCTGATTTTTTATTTTTTCTTTACTTACACAGCACAAAATGTTTTAATTGGATGCATCTAGCATCTAATTAAATAAGTGTTTGCCAGAGATCAGAGAATTACACCACAGGTGAGATCAGTAGGATAAATGTGGGATTCCCAGACATCATTTTCTCCTGCGTAAGGCATCCACACCTGAGAAGTCATCTGCCTTTTTCCATTCACCTCCAGGATTAGGAGCACTGTATCATCTGGTTCTCCTCTCACCCTTCCCCTGACCCCTCTTATCACTCATCCCTGTGCAGGGCCATTAGCCATGGCCCATTTTCCACATGGTAGTTTCCTGGGTGGGGTTGCTTATGCCACTTTCAGGGCAGTGCCTGTACCCAGAAGTAGAGGATCTCATGCCATGACTTATTCAAGTGCCACCAGTCAGGTGTGACCCACTCCAGTACCTCTTTGGAAGTAGTACTGAAGTTGCCATTTGAGAATGCCCAGAGCATGTGAGTAGTGCTCTGCCCCAAGGCAGAGACGACAAGCTGAGGTCCCTCATAATGTCCTCTGAAGTCCAATGGGAGACTGTCTAGACTCTCAAAGCCATTCTAGGGTTTCTGACAAAAATTTGTAGTGGGAAGTTTTGTTTTGTCATGCTGAACACCATCTCATAATTGGTCAGTCCTGCACTTTTTTGCTTCATGCTCAATTTAATACAATTAGTTGATTGTTTTAGCTGAAGTCTTTGTAAAATACAAAGATAACCTTACCAAGGTCAAATGATTCCACCACATAATGTGAAGTGTTCTTTATGATAATAAGATGTGTCAACATGATATATCTTAGGGCAGTCTGTGATTTTCTCATGCATGTGCTGATGCCTAATTCAAGGGAAGCTCCTTGTTCCCTCCCCTGCTGTCTTCTAGAGCACAACTGATTCAAACATCTCTCCAGAAGAAGGCAAACAAAAAGAAGATCCAAGGCAGAAAAAGCTGCTCTGGGCACAAGACAGTATGCCATCTCTGAAAAGCAAAGAAAATGAACTCTGGCAAGAAAAGAGGAGGTATGGATCAAGCCTAAGCATTTCTTAGCCCTGTAGAGCTTTGGGTTCTGTAGACTTCTGGGATGTCACATCTGCCTATGATTGATGCTGAAGCATCAGTCTCTGGTGGCTTTGTGACAGGTATAATATATCCCAGCCAATATTCGCTTGCCACAGGCTTATGCATATATGGCAATGAGCAGTGCTAGTTTTACATATCAGAAGGCTTGCCTTTTCAGCATATGGCTTTGCTGAAACTCTGTCCTATCAACCAGATCAGAGCTTAGATAGCTCAGACATCTCTGTATGTCACTGCACTGTGGCTTGTGTACAAGTTTCACGAGCCATTTGGAGGAATAAAAGAAGCAGTAGCTGTTTTCACTCAGAATCTGTGTGAGATTGCCTGGCTAGCTCGGAAGTGCCGTACCCAAAAGTGCCAGATGGTGTTCAAAGTCCTGGTCTTTGCCCAACTGCTAATAACAGCTTTCAAAAAGACAAGAAGCTTCTGATGATGCTGAACACTGGATAGAGAACACTGAGAAAAGGTGTTTCTCTGAGAAAGGAGCCATTTTTCCACAAATCCAGAATGACTTTTCATGCATGTAAGTGGCAGTGTGTGGGGGAAGCAGGAAGATGCAGCATGTTTGGAGACTTGTTAATTCATGACTCTATATTGCTTTGTCATTGCTGACACAATGCCAAAAGTCTTGCAAAAAATAGACTGATACTCAAACGTCTGATTTTGACATTATATTCTAGGTGGAATTTTTTCTGGCTTTATTTATACAATGTGACTTATTTTTATTGGCAGTGGAAATAAAGTGCTCTCAGGACACCCAGAGACGGATATCTTGAAAAGAGGTGAACAGGAGCAGCAGGTGCTGGTAACGGAGCACAGCTCACCTGCCAGGCTGAATCTGCCATTGACTCAGGGTGAGAGTCAATACTCTTCATACACATGTATTCTTTTCCAGATAGAAATCTCCCAGGTGTTTACAGTGACCTGAAATATAACTCAAAGAATTTTGGAAATTAACAACACATGTATATCTTCAAAATTTGAATGTATCAGATGCAAAAACTGTTTTCTTTTAGTAAAGATAAATATGTTAAGATGAAACCTAAAATCTTATTTTCATCAGAGACAAGTTGTAGGTGAGAATCTTGTTTATAGGCCCACATGTTCACAGTAGTAGTTAAACACAGTCATCTTCCATCTTTTACATAATCTTACATACATATAGAATTTATCTTGATACAGAGAGCATATTTCCAACACTTATTTTGTGTTTTGAGAGATAATTAGATTCTTTATGTCCATTTCAGTCCAGTAAAAATCACTACTTGTGATGTGTAACCTTTTCAAGACAAGTCTAAAGTGACACCTGTCTCAATTTTGTCATTAGAAATGTCTGATGACAATTTAAGTTAATGGATTTTTTTAAGCTCACATAAGTATTGATGTTTTTTGAATGAAGGAATTGCCCCAAAGCAACACTATCAACAGGGTAATCCTAAAAAAAGACAAATCCGTTAATTTAGCATCATTATCTAATGCAAGTGAACAGTGGAAAGTAAATAAGTTGGGCTAAAGAGAGAAAGCAAATGTAGATTTTGAAATAAAGTTTTATATTTTTGTTTTCAGTCTAGCATAAAAATTGATGATTCTAAAAAAAGAATCATCTATGGGTAGAAAAGGTTTCAGTGTTATTACTTGCTCCAAATGCAAGTTCAGTTTATTAAACTTACCAGGTTTGTTTTCCCTGGCACTATTTTATTGTATTCTTAATGCTTTGATAAAGGTTTCTCAAATAAAGAAAGCAGGAGACATTACCCAACAATCTGTCCCTATGGATTTGTCACAGTGATTAAGCAAACTTCAAAAGTTTGACAGTTTTCAACTTCTGCTAATCAGGCTTTTTTCTAGGTTCTTTTCGTCATCTTGGTCCCCTACAAATATGCTGACAGTTTATTTTTGGCCCTGTAAAGCGTCACATCCTTGCTCTCTCCTGAAGTCCTTAAACTAGTCAGGACTGGGTTTATTTTTGTCTTGATACCAAAAATAGGAAATGAGTCTGTCATAGCCCCCAGTAAAGATTTTTTACTCTTCTAAACCAGCTGGTTGGTGCAGGGCAGTGTAAGGCTCTCCCCAGCCTGTGAACCACAGAAGTTGTCTGGAAGGATCCAGGCAGTGTGCTCTGTCTCAAAGATGGACTAGTCAGCTGCCTGAGCATCACACAGATCATTGCATATTGCTGGAAGGCTGTTACTGTCACTGAACCTTGTGCAACCATTTGAAACACAGAAGGAAATTATGAGGGAAGAAATCTGTTTATCGGTAGGCTCATGGAAAGCAGTGACTACACCACCTTCCTCTTAACTTTTGCTGTTGAGATGTTTGGATCCCCAGGAAGCATGGGAAGTTTCTGTCTCTATGGTGCTTCCCTCCTTAGGATAGCAATACCTTATTTTCCCAAGTGCTACTCGTGGACGGCTGTTTGACCTCTCCTTTTTCCCCCTTCAGAAACTGAGATTCAGCAGCGGGGTAGGTCATGTGTATGTGATAGTAATGCAGGGAGACATTGTCTCATAGAGGTCTTCTGGTGTAGCAGAGCCTGTCTCTGACTTTGTGTGGAGTTTCTGAGAACTTAATTAACAGTGCATCTCATGTCTCCTTTATGGTGTGCCCACAAGCTATGGTGGTCTATAAGTATTGAAAAAAGCATTTTGTCACAAGTATTGAGATTTTCCCACCTCCCATTGTAGACATCTCCTGGAATCAGCAGTTGCTGACAAAGCAGTCCCCGCATCACACAGAGGACATTCGGCAGAGACCGTTCGTGGGCCAGAGTGCAGGACAACAGCCAAGCTCCACAGCCGAAATGAGGAGGTGAGAACATAAAATAAAGGTTATTGCAGAGGCTGAGAAGTCCTCCTCACTCTGTTCTCCCTTATATTCCTACTCAGCATTCTTTATTGGTTAAGTTTCATGGGTAGTCCTGCAGTGTGCGGACACCTTTGATTCCTGGCTTTCCCACCAATACTGTTAACATATGTCCACTTCATTTCTCATTATGGGTACCCCAGTAACTAGTTTCACAAGGGAGGACACCTCCTGCTTGCTGTTCTCTGTCATCTTTCTCCCTAGCTCTTTAAACACTCATCTGTGTAACTGTTCATGTGCTTCATTTGTTTTAAGTCCCTAAGACAAACATTTATAGCCAGTAAGTGGCTAAATATCGGGGTGGGAATGTCAGGTGAAGTCTGCCTCTTTGAAGTTGGTATCTGAAAGCATCATTCCCCAGCTTCTAAACACACATTGATTGCTGCTTTCTAGTTCTTTAAGGGTTATAGCTTTTAAAGGAAGATACGTAGAGATTAGTATTTTCTTTCTGCTATAAATCTGATGAGGTTTTTTCTGTGATGCTTCGCCTTGTGCTTTTGAGTGAGCGTTACTAAAAAGTAACACCAGTTCTTTCAGTAAACAAGGAATATGTTTACCTAAAAGTGTACCTGTGTAATGAGAAATTAACATCTGTTTTCATTAACATATGTATGAACACGGTCTCCTGCAAAATATGTGTTACCTCTGTGAAGCTTGAATCCAGTCAAAACAAATGTAGATTTAGGTTGATTACCATCCTCATAACATACTGCTTGTGTGTGTTTGAGAAAATTGTTATTTAATCTGTAAACAGCTTTAAGCAGTGAGAGGTTGAATTGATTTCCAATAACAAAAAACATGCATGGTTTTTCTCACCAAATTCTTGCAGGGCAGAATGGATACAATAGTAATAAACCACTTTTCAGTGTTGGTAGCTTCTTTTTTATGCAGTAAAGGGCACAGACCCTCTGTCAACAACCCCACATCTGCTCTACCAGTGTGCTTTGGAGCACACCCCCTGGGCAACAGAAAGTACAAGGCGTTGTGCCTTGGCTTCCTCATGGTGTGAGCTACATTGGTTTGAGAGGTGCGTAGGAGTCTGCATGTGACTGATTACTTTGTGAGTTATCTGGTCAAGCAATAGCAAGCAGATAAAGACTCTGAACCAAAAACACATGCGATTTTTTGTTGTGTCAAAATGGCAGTGGACAGCAAATTTATGCCTTGTTTTCCTTAGATAAAATCCTTAGAGCTGGGAATCCTGAAATCCATCAGATGGAATTTCTTCATACAAAACCTCTGTTTTCACATGTTCTTCAGCTGTAATAATGCATTTTCTCATTTGTGTTTTAGGTCAGGCTATCATGAGAACTTCAGATCTGGGCCATCATCTCCCTGCTCTCCTGCTGCTCCAAGTCAGTCACCCAACAGGTACAAGAGGTCAATAAGGAATTTTGCAGACCGAATGCATCATGTAGTTGCTAGTGAACTGTCACAGTGTAAATCACACTAGTATTATGTGGATGCACTATTAATTCTTCTAAATGTTTCATTTCATAACCATCCACGTAATAAACATGTAGCTCCCTCTCCCATTTTTCTTGCCTACTTCAGCAGTCTTGTGTTTTAAAATATCACAGTTGAGAAAGCAGCTGTAGGACTCTGCTTGATCATTGAAATTTTAATGAAGCTGAGATGAGATAATATAAGCCCCAGTTGAAGCAAGCAGAAAAGTATGAGGTCAGAGCACTTGAGCCAAAGGTGGTTGTCTTCATTGTGAATAGTTACATGCTCAGGAGCAAGGTATACTCTAGATGTTGTCACCGACTGCCATTTCAACACTTACTGATTTGAAAAAAAGTCCTTCCCTTAATTTCCAGACTTGAAAGACATTTTGCTTTTTTGCTGTTCTTTTTTTGAATTTGCCTACATTTGTGCTAATCTCCTGGAGAGCTGATTCTCTCAGGCAATGAGCTGTGCAGCTTTTAATGAGATATATGTACCAACTCTAAGTTAACTGTAGCCTGATAGAATCACTGATAATTTGGGGTGTATTAAAGCCAGTTGGCTTATTAAATAGGGTGAAGTCATACAACACAGAAGCCATAGCAAGTTCTAGTTCTATTTAAATAACATTTTTCTTCATGTCTGATAGCAAAGCCCTCCTTCTGATGCCATTTGCATTGACCTGAAACTATTTTTTTTATGTGAACAATTTATTCTGTTTTTGCTAATTGTAACTGCAGTTTTGGTGGGATTGCAGATCATTTATGGCTACATGTAGCTAGTCTTGATAGCAATTTCATATTATTTAGTAGCTATATCCTTATCTGAGAGCCTTTTCCAAGATCTTTTCCTGAAATAAATCTTAGTATTGGAAATAATGGATGGGATGTAATTCATTGTTCTACTAAAACATTAGAAAACTTTTCTTAAGAAATTCCCAAAGCACTTTATTCTTTGATTCAACACTTTAACTTATCCTTATGATAATTCTGATGCTGGAGAAGTGAAAACAAAGATAGACTCAAGAGTAACACAGAGGAGTGGGAGCAGAAGGCTTAAGGTTGTAGGGGAGGAGAAGAATCCAGGAAAGTTATTCTGAAAGGAATAATGAGAATGAAGCAACAAGAAAAGACAGGGATGTGCCTGGTCGCTGTACATGGTGGCATAAAGAATGATGGGCTCAGAAGTAATGGAGATTAGATGGAAGCAAGGACAATTTTCTGTCATTATGAGTCTTTCTGCTGCTTCTATCTCTTTCCTTCTTTTTTTTAATGACTTTTTTACATTATGCAGTCCAGATCCATCTCTGCTGGTGGCTTATTATGTTGTTGCACCAAAAACCTAAAGCAAGATATTGTAAAGGTGCTTATTTTTGTACAATTTTCATCAAACCATCTTTCTGAAACTTATGAATTGTCCTGAAATTCCTCTCCTGATTTCAGCCCTGGCTGAAAAAAACATAGATGACACATGACAAGGGATCCCTTTTGGTCTCAGGTTTGTCTCACTAGGTGAACATCAATTCTGGCAGGCTGGCAGACAGGTGAGAAGGGAAGAGTGTGAAACGCCTGCACTGCCATTAAAAACAGTAGAAAAAAGGGTACCAGTTATTCCTGGGGCCCTGATCTTTCACCCAGCTGTCATCAAACAGCTGATTTACTAGAAAGTCATAGACAGGCCTGAAGCTTAGGGAGAGAGTTGAAGCATTTTTGTATTGCAGATGGAGATCTGATTTCAGCTTTCCTCTAACTAGTTGGAGTACTAACAGGCATGTAGCTGCAGCAGCATAAACTAAAGTTAGTTGACAGGTGCCTGGTGCCTGGTCTGTGCTACTGAAGTTACGCTGCTGCTAGTGACTTTGCTAGCTTGATTGGGTGTAAGAGCAGCATCCCTACCTTTTAACTTGCAGTAAGCGAACCCATTTGCAAACAAATTGAAAAATTTCCAGACTGAGGATCTGACTCGGGTATTTCATGTGAATAACTGCTTTGATTGCTGAGGCATCAACTGGGACTAAGTAATCCGCAGGCATGGTTCTCTACCATCCAGGTCTCTGTTAAGAGGCTTGCATCTCCCTTGATCTAGTACAGCAGACTGGAAGGAAAATGGGTCTGAGCTGCTGTGCATTCAAGTGTTTTAAGTCGTAGAATCATGGGATCATTTAGGTTGGAAAAGACTTTTGAGATCATGGAGTCCAACTGTAAACCTAATGTTACGAAGATCACCACTAAATCATTTCTCTAAGCACCACATATACGCGTCTTTTAAATATGTCCAGGGATAGTGACTTAACCATTTCCCTGGGCAGCCTGTTCCAATGCTTGACAACCCTTTCAGTGAAGAAATTTTTCCTAACATCCAATCTAAACCTCCTCTGGCACAACTTGGGGCCATTTCCTCTTGTCCTATCACTTGTTACTTTGGAAAAGAGACTGACGCACACCTTGCTAGAACCTGCTTTCAGGTAGTTATGGAGAGCAATAAGATCTCCCCTGAGCCTCCTTTTCCCCAGGCTAAGCAATCTCAGTTCCCTCAGCTGCTCCTCACAGGACT